CTCTGCCACACCCTGAACCCGCTCCTCGTAGGCTGCAATGTCCGCCTCAATGGCTTCGTGCTTCTTCATGGCTGCCTCCACTGCTGGCAGCTCATATCCAAAGTTATCCTGGGGCAGTATAGGCCACAGATACCCATGCTGCCTCAGCAGTCCACCTGTTACCTTGACCCTGTATGACCCTGGAAAACTCTCCCCTTTGACCTGCAAACCAGTCACTCCCACCTTGGTTACCATAGAGACCAGTCCCATCCTCCCTGTTACCCCAGAGATAAGCCCAACCCACATTCCAGTTGCCAAGAGACCAGTCCCACTTATACTTGTTACCCTGGAGATAAACCCCACCCTCCCCAGTTACTGTGGATACAGTCTCACCTCTCCACAGTTATCCTGGAGACCAGCTCCATCCCCTCCTTGTTGCCCTGGAGACTGGGCCCACCTACCCTCCAGTTACTCCAGAAACCCATCCTATTCTCCCCAGTTACCCTGGAGACCAACCCCTCATTCCTCTGCTACCCTAGAGACCAGCCTCACTCTCTCATGTAATTCCAGAGATCGGTTCCACCATGCTGTATCACATGTCTAACCCTAAATTTCTTACCCAGGAAAAATGCCCTATTCTCCCACTGTCATGGAAGTCTATCCTACTCTGCTACTTAGGAGACTAATTCTACCCTCCTGAGTTGCCCTGTGCACAAAATACAACATCCCTGTACTAAGGTGTACTTAAACATTCCCCATGTTTCTGTCTAGTTGCCCTGGAGACCGGTCTCACTGTCCCAATACTGTGAATGCCGGGTCCACTCCCCTCACCCACCCATCACTTTGGAGATCCAGTCTCCATTCACACCGTCATTTGTCAGCTAGGAGACTAATCCAACTCTTCTCTGTTGCTTAAGACGTCAAATCTCCCTCCCTAATCCCAGGGCCATCAGCCCTGCCCTCACTCCCTTTCCCCCAGAGCCGAGCCCTACACCTCGTACCTGGGAAACCAGGCGCTGGTTCTCATTCAGCCAGCTCTCTCTCATAGCCACTTTGTGGTCAAACCTCTGAGCCAGCAGCTCCAGCTTCTCCTGCCGGATCAGCTCAGCCCGGAGGGCAGCTTCCCGCTCGTGTTCTGCCTTTTCCAGCTGGCCCCAGGCCTGGGAAAGATGGGAGAAGACAGTTAGATTCCAACAACTCCTTGCCATGCAATGGCCCTGGCTTCTCCATCTGAGGCCACTCATAGCATACGTGACACCTTTTTGCAAAGTAGAAGAGAAAAAGCTGCTCCTCACGACACCTTACTGCTAGAAACCTGTGCCTGTGTTGTCCACAAAGTGAATGGCTCATTGAGCAGTGTACAGTCTAGGTAACCCTGCCGTGCAGCCCTGCCCACCTCACCTTGTCAATATCCCAGATGCCGCAGCCCTCCCGAGGCACAAAGAGGCGCCGGTTGCAGGCTCGCAGTTTGCTCTGGATACTGAAGAGCAGCACCTCCAGGTTCCCCTTCTCCTGGAACCTACAGGGGCATGAGCTTAGGGGCCTGGCCTCCGTGCCTCCCCCGCCCTCCTCCTGAGCCGGGCCTCACTTGACTGGCTTCTCCAGGGTGCAATAGGCCGTGAACGCCTGTAGCTGCTGCTGCACCCCACTCAGCGAGTTGGCAAACTTCTGGTTGCTGATGAGGCCCACGGTGCGGTGGATCCAGGCCAGCAGCTCGGCTGCGAGCTCCTCATAGCGCTCTATGATCTCTCCCACCTCCAACACCTGGTCCAGGACCTGACCAGGCAGAGGGAGGCGGAGTCAGCCCCACCCCACGTATGCCCTCAGGTGTTTCCCAGGCTCCCAGCCGCCCCTTCCCGTGGCTCTTTGTACCTTCCCAATCCGCTTCCCCTCCACAGCCAGAGCCTTCATCTTGGAGAAGTAGTGGTAGAAAGAGACCACGTAGGTGATGATGGATTTCTCATCTGGAGCTTCCATGTTCACATCTGTAGGGGACGGGAGCGGGAGGGCACGGCGGTGGGCACTCAGAGGGGCCGAGGGTGGGAGGACCCGTGGCCTTGCCGAGGTAACCTCTCTGCTCCTCAGTTTTTGCATCTGCCCAGTGGGGATCTATCACATGGGGATAAATGGTGCTTGATGGATGTGAGCCACGGAGGAATTACCTGCAGCTGTTTCTTTCTTTCTTTTTTTTTTTTTTTTTTGGACAGGCAGAGTGGACAGTGAGAGAGACAGAGAGAAAGGTCTTCCTTTGCCGTTGATTCACCCTCCAATGGTCGCCGCGGCCGGCGCACTGCAGCCGGCGCACCGCGCTGATCCGATGGCAGGAGCCAGGTACTTATCCTGGTCTCCCATGTGGGTGCAGGGCCCAGGCACTTGGGCCATCCTCCACTGCACTCCCGGGCCACAGCAGAGAGCTGGCCTGGAAGAAGGGCAACCGGGACAGAATCCGGCGCCCTGACCGGGACTAGAACCCGGTGTGCCGGTGCTGCAAGGAGGAGGATTAGCCTAGTGAGCCGCGGCGCCGGCCTGCAGCTGTTTCTTGAACACACAGCTTAACCGTCCTGGCCAGAGCGTTTGCACACACCGTCCTCACTGCCTGGACACTGTTCCCGCTTCTACTTCCACGCATCCTTCGTGGCTCAACTCAACTTCCACTTCCTCAGACCAGCCGCCCTGCTCGCCCTGGCTACAGTGGACCTCCTCCTGTCTCTTTCATAACATCTCATCATTCCCTTTCCGGAAGGAACCACAACTTGAGAGTAAATATTCACTGGTGTGATTAACTCATCATGTAGAGTTTGAGCTCCAGCAGGACAAAAAAATACGCCTTTTTTTTTTTTTTAATCACTATTCCTGGCATGCCCGCCACACAGTGTGAGAGCTCAAGTAATATTTCCTAAGTATGCAAATGGTGGCTGAGGGTTGAAGCCAGGATAAGAGCTCTGGGGGCAGCGTGGGCTGGAATCCCAGCTCACGCACTTTTAGCATTCTGTCCTTAGGGAATGGACACAATGTCCCCGAGCCTCAGTTCTTCCACTGTAAGTTCCTGCCTCTGAGGAACACTGCAAGTATCAGGGAGAATGGACTGGCACAGGGGAGGCACTCAACGGATTCTGATGTCAAAAACCCAACACTACACGCACGTGGCCCTTCCTCTTCAGCATTTCATGAAACTGACACCCACAAACACCTACTATGTGCCAGCCACATAGTGACAGCAGGTGGAGTACTCATCCAGTCCATGAACCCTGGGACCCTAAAGTCCTGTTTACTGCTCAGTGTGACTGGGCCAAGGAGCTCATCTCCCCGAGGCTTTGTTCCCAGCCTGGTCTCGAGTGACGTTCCTGGCCGTGTGCTCAGCACAAAGTAGATGTGACCTCAGGGAGGGGAGACTGGGCTGGGAACGAGGATCAGGGATGGGGAAGTAAGGGGTGGGGCTGGGGGGCACTGAGAGTGGGAGAGGACTTAGGGATGAGGACAGAGCTGTGGGTGGGCACAGGTAGGGGAACAGGTTGTGTAAACAGTGGGGCTGGCCCCTGTGCTGGGCACAGCAACAGGGTCACAGTGGGAGATGTGACTGGGGCTGGGTGCAATGCTGAGGATGGGGTTGGTGTTAGGGATGGGGACCGCGGAGACAGTGCTGGGGATGGGAGGTAGAGGGGGTTCAATATGGGGGAGATGGTCTAAGGAGGAGGGGATGAAGTGAGGAGGGGAGGTGGGGGTGGGGAGAGAAAGGAACTGGAGATGAGGAAGGTGAGGAGGCTGGGAGAAGCAGGATCTGGGGTGACTGGGGGATCTGGGCTGGTGCTGGAATAGGTTGGGGAGACTCTGGGGGGGGCTCTAGGGTTGGGACCCCCAAGGGGAAGTCGGTGCTTGGGCCACGTGGGGCTCACCTTCAGGGTCCAGCAGCCGGGCCAGCCCCAGGTGCTGCTCAGCGGTGCGGAAGGCTCTCTGCAGGTTGTAGTTGGCATTGGACTTGGTGAGTTTGCTGAAGTCCACGAGGTCGGGCCTGAGCAGGGGCACAGAGCAGGCAGGCAGCAGGAAGGCTCCAGAGCCCAGGGTCAAAGCCGACGATGAGATACCCTCATCTGGGCCCCGCCCAAGCCAAGAGGGGGTGGGTGTCGTGGGGAGCGAGGTGAGCATGATGGTCTTGGCTGTGTCTCTGTGCTCTCTGGGTGTGTGTGTGTGCTTCTGTTGCTGGACGTGTGTGAGCTGGCCTGTGTGCATGCGAGCCACGTGGTGCCTGCCTGTGGAGTCTGTGAAATGAACCGGCAGTGCATGTGTGCTTGGGTCCTGTGTACACTGTGTGAAGGCAGGTGTGTGTCTGGCACATGCGTGTTGTTCTAGATGGATCTGCACACAGCATCATGCAGTGCTTAGACGTGTGAGGCCTGGAGCCGGCCAGCCTGGGATCAAGCGCCACTGGGGCCACATCTGGGCAGGGAGTGATGCTACCTGATCTTTCTGTGCCTTGTTTTCCTCGACTCTAAAATGGGGATAAAGACGGCTTCCTCGAAGTCCACTGAATATTAACAGAACTCAGCGGAAGACGCACACAACGCCTGGTCCACTGGAAGCACACGATGAGCTACGGGCATTCTTTTTTTTTTTTTTTTTTGACAGGCAGAGTTAGACAGTGAGAGAGAGACAGAGAGAAAGGTCTTCCTTCCGTTGGTTCACCCCCCATATGGCCGCTACGGCCGGCGCGCTGCGCTGATCCAAAGCCAGGAGCCAGGTGCTTCCTCCTGGTCTCCCATGCGGGTGCAGAGCCCAAGCACTTGGGCCATCCTCCACTGCCTTCCCGGGCCACAGCAGAGAGCTGGACTGGAAGAGGAGCAACTGGGACAGAATCCAGCGCCCTGACCGGGACTAGAACCTGGTGTACCGGTGCCACAGGTGGAAGATTAGCCTAGTGAGCCACGGTGCCGGCCTGAGCTACGGGCATTCTAAGGACTCCGGTGACAGCTTGCCTCTTGCTGTGGGAGGTGCATCTAGGCTGCCCCATGGGCATGTGAGAGGCAGGGGTCATGAGTACATGTGTGCCCACGGCAGACAATGCTGGGCTCTGGCTTCGGCCCCACACACAGCAGGGCATGCCCCTCCCAGTCCCTGAGCCTCGGTTTCCCCAGTCTGTCATGCTGTGGGCACAGCATGTCAAGGTGCCCGAGCCACAGCCGGGTCAGCACCAGGCCCTGAGAGATGGACATGTGAGCTGGGAGGGAGCCAGGTACAGGGAGAGGGGCTGTGCATACCCACAGTGGACTTGAAGCAGCAGGTGCATGTTCCCGTGTGTGCACACATCTCGGTGAGGGAACACATATGTCCACCCATGTGTTCACAGCAGACATGACCCGGATGGAATGCATGTCAATGTGTAAGTGTGAACAGCGTGAGTGTAAAGGGAGGGAAACATGCACATGTGTGTACAGGCAAAGGGAGGACGGGTCCTGCGTGTGTATGTGTGGCCTATATACACACGTGGACAAGCGTGTGGCTGTGGGGATGCAGGGTAGGGGCAGGGTGGGGCGGCCCCAGGCCGGGGGGTACCTGTGCCGGTGAATGAGGGCATTGAAGGCTAAGCCGTCCCGCCAGCTGGTGGTGAAATTCTGGATGTTTACTTCCGGGTAACTGGAATTACAAAGGCAGGGAGAGAGGATGGGTAGGATGGGTGGGGAGGGAGGGAGGGAGGGAGGGAGGGAGGGAGGAAGGAAGGAAGGAAGGAAGGAAGGAAGGAAGGAAGGAAGGAAGGAAGGAAGGAAGGAAGGGGAAAGGTAGGTGGATGGGGGGAGCCAGGGAGACAAAGAGAAAGAAGGAGGAGGACAGAGCAAGAGGCAAAGGAAAGAAGGAAGGGAGGTGGCGAGAGAGGCAGAGATGGAGCGGGAGAGGAGGGAAGGCAGGAGGGAGGGGGACAGGCACCAGGGAAAGCAGACAGAGGTGCAGACAGTGGAGAAATACACGCCACTGACAGCCAGTCCCAGCAGGGTGACAGCGGAGCAGCTGCCTGCATCCCAGGCCCACCCACTCCCGCCTTCCTCCTGGGCTGCTCTACAGAGGCCAATGGAGTTACAGACCACGCCCCACCCTGCAGGACAGGAGACAGGGAGGATGGCTGGAGAGATGGATGGATAGACAGACAGACAGACATATAGGCAGTCCGCACCCTGCCCCTCTGTCTTAACCACAGTGAAGGCACCTGGGACCCAGAACTTTCCTACAAGCTGCCAGAGCCCTGGTGTGTGTCCTGCTTGGTGGAAGGGTGGCCTGAGCTTGGACTGGGGACTGAGGGGTCCACCCAGGTGCCCATGAGACCTATGGAGGTGCAGAAGGAGATGGGCAGGGGGCAGGGAGAAGGAAGCAGGCTGGGCAGTCCGCCACGCTCCAGTGTCGGTCTCCGCGTGTGTGGGGGTGAGGGGCGCAGACTCTGAGGGTTCTAACTTTGAGCCTGGCCTTGCAGAAGGAGCCCAGGGTTAGGGGCCCGGCATGGGGAGGGGGCTTACCCTGCCGTCTTCATCTGGCACCACAGGAGCAAGGCGTCCTTGGCCGAACGCGTCTCTCTGTTGTCCTCAGTCTCAATTTTGATGACTTGAATCTGGGACAGGACCAAAAGAAGGCTGTGGGGCCTGGAGAGCTTCGGCCTGGGAGACCTCCACCTGCCACCCTGCCCCAGGGAGCATGGCGGGTGACAGAGGAGATGGGGCAGACAGCTCCGGGTGCGGGCTGGAGTGCAGGAGCTGGCGGCTGAGTTCTGGATGGGCCAGGCGGAGACTCAGGCCTTGTTTCCCAGGGAGCCCTCCGCACTGAGCATCAGGGCCGAGCCCCGGTCGCCTCCTGCCCAGGGCAGCGCAGTGACCTCCACGTGGATCTCCCTGCTCCTGCACCGTCAGTTTGCTCCCCAGGTGGCAGAGACGAGGGCACTGGGAACTCCCCATCAGACCACGAGCTTCTCTCCCAACACCCACAGCGGCGCCAGTGCCGTCGGGGGAAAGCCAGAGGCCTCGCTGACCCTTCCTCCTTAGGCCTCCGACCTCGTCCTCAGCAGCTCCTGCCACGCTGGCCCCCTGCTGGCCTCTTCGCTCCTCACGGACGCCCTCCTGCCTCCGTGCCTTTGCAGCGGCAGGTCCTTCTACATCCTGTCCCCAGGCTCCAGCTCTCCGTCCGGTCTTCACTCAAGCGCCACTGTCTCAGAGAGGCCCTGGCCACCTCCATGGACCCCCGCTGCATCACCCTGGTCCATGGACTCACCAGCCTTCCCGCCTCCCGCACCACAGGGTGGTCTTTCGCTTTTGTTCACTGCCATAGCCCAAAGTCCTGAGCAGCCCAGAGCCCGACGGGGGCTCCAGAGCCTCAGGTGGGCATTGCACACTTGGTTCATGGACTCAGGAACAGGGGTGGGCAGCTGGGTTCCAGGGAGAGAACCAAGACCCTTCCCAGGATGTCCTAGACCCCCGTGCAGGGCTCCAGCAACCAGGCGCCATCCCCATGGTCTCATCTCCGGAGCACACACCTGTCTCCAGCCCCATCCCTTCATCTTGAACTCCATGCCCAGGAGCCAACAGATTCCCGGATGCCCCCTCACCCTGGTGTTCTGGACCAATGGCCACCCCGGCCCAAACCAGCTCCAGGATCTTCCCCAAGCCTGCTCCTCTGCCCTGGCCTGTCCCAGGACCCAGGCCAGAGCTCTGAGTCTCCTCCCAGACATCTCCCTCCCCCAGGCCTGGCCACGCCATCTCCTGAGGGTCTTCCCACCTGGCCCCTCCTTACCTGCCCACAGGCCCACCCGAGTCCAGCTCCGATCTCCCCCCTGGACTCTCAGCTCCCAGTTTGGGTGACCACCTGGAGCAGTCTGATTATGTGCCTCTCCCTGCCCATTGCTAGCCACAGATGACCGAGGCCCTGCCCCTCCCCCGCCTTGCCACCTGTCCTGTAGTCACTTCAGCCAACACAGAGCCGAGTACACTCCCACCCCAGGGCCTTTGCACCTGTGGTATCCAGTGCCTGCAGTGCTGTCTGCCCTCATCTCTGCGTGTCCTGCAGCCACCAGTTTCTTGGAAAGCCCTTTTCCGGCCACCACCGCTAACCTGATGCTTTATATCACTTTTACTACTGTGTCATAATCTAATTTTTCTGCATCCGTCTTTTTACTGCTCTGTGGCCTAGAGCTAGTCTTTTCCCCATACATGCTTTGTTGACACATTTGTTTCTTCTCTGTCTTCTTACAATGCAAGCTCCATACAGGCACAGAATCTGCTTGTTTCTCTGCTGAGTAGGTTTGCCTGGGTTCAGATTCCAGCTCCAGCACCGAGCTACAAGTCCCCTTGGGCGTATTGCTTCACTTATTTGGGCTTCTATCTCCTCACTGGCAAAATGGGATGATAAATAGTCCCTAATTTATGGGATTTCTCTGTGTGTGTGTGTGTGTGTGTGTGTGTATATATATATATATATATATATAAAATTTATTTGACAGAGACAGAGAAAGAGAGAGACAGAGAGAAAGGTCTTCCTTCCGTTGATTCACCCCCCAAATGGCTGCTACAGCCGGAGCTACGCCAATCCAAAGCCAGGAGCTGGGTGCTTCCTCCCGGTCTCCCATGAGGGTGCAGGGCCCAAGCACCTGGGCCATCCTCCACTCCCTCCCAGGCCACAGCAGAGAGCTGGACAGGAAGAGGAGCAACCAGGACTAGAACCCGGCGCCCATATGGGATGCCGGCACCACAGGCAAAGGATTAACCAAGTGAGCCACGGTGCCGGCCCCTGCTGTGTATATTAAATATCAAATACTTAGCATAGTGGCTGGAACTGAATAAACAAAATATAAATGATTAGAGTGATAGTGATCATGATGGCTATTTTAGCATTGTTTTCATCCCCACCACCTGAAACAGAGTTCCTGGAATATACTGGGAATGTTTGGAGGGGGTGGCATTGTGGTGGAATGGGTTAAGCCCCAACTTGGGATGCCTGCACCCACATCAGAGTCCCAGCTCCTCTGCTTCTAACCCAGCTTCCTGCTAATGCATCCTGGGAGGCAGCAGATGATGGCCCAAGTGTGCAGGCCCCTGACACCCTTGTGGGAGGCCTGGGTGGACTTTCAAGCTCCTGGCTTCAGCCTGGCCCAGCCCTGGCTGTTGCAGCCCTGGCTTCTCTGTAGAAGAAAAAATAAACTTTAAAAAAAGATGAAGCTATTACTTTTTAAAAAAATAATCCACTGGATGAGTGACTGAATGGGGAAGCAGATGGGGACGCCCTCCCGGGTGCCAGGGCTCACCTGGAAGCGCAGGATGATGGTCCACACCAGCCCCAGTGTCAGCCGGTGGTTCCCGTCCACGATGTCGTGCGAACCCACGTTCTCCAGGTGCACGCGCTGCTCCTTGAGGAACTGCAGCGCCTTGTCCACGTTCTCCAGCGAGTGGATCCGCATGCGGCCGCGGGTGGGCCTCGGCTAGGGCGGCAGGTTGTTGGCAGGTGTGGCTCTGCCCCGCCCACAGCCACGCCCATGCAGTCTTTTCCCAGTCCTTTGAGGGGAGGGGGTCTTTCCCAAGGCCAGCCCCTCTCGGGAGCCTCATGCCCTGCCCTTTCCACAGATGCGCCCCCTCCAGCCTCACCCCTCACGGGGCCCCCTTCCCACCCCTCCTGGGGCCACACCCATGCCAGTCAAGCCCCGCCCCCCACAGGACCTCCCCCTGGCTTATTCCTCAATCGTGGCTGGTGGCTTCCGTCATGACTCATCATCCACTGGGCCCCTACTCAGAATTCTGTCCCTAATCTAGAGCCACGTCCCTTGCCACCTCATCACCCGGGCCCGGGTCTTCTAATAAAGGAGCGCCCTGCCCCAGGAGCTCCACCCCATCCAGTGGAGCCCACCCCTTCAGGAGGCCCCGCCCCCGCCCCGCAGACTTCTGCTTCCGACCCCGCGCTGAGCCGGGGTCCTGCCTGTGGCGCGGCCCCAGCCCTGCCACCCCCCGGACCCACCCCACCGCCTGGCAACTGAAGGGGCATCTGCCCCACAGGGCCCACCCAGGACGCCCCCCAGCCCAAGGCCCCAGGGCCCCCTCACCAGCTGCTCCCCCGACAGCACTTCCAGCAGCCGCGTGAGCACGAAGCCGTCGCGGAGGTCCGTGTAGAGGTCCCCGATGTGGCAGCCCACGCGGGCGAGGTGTGAGTTCACCCACTTGGTGAAAGTCTTCTTCTGCACGGCCTCCCGCTCGTCTGGAAGGCGGGCCTCCATCAGGCCCCGGCTCCCGAGGCGGCCCGGGCCCCGGCCGGCCGTGCCCGCCAGCGCTGCCCAACGCGGGCCTTGGCGCGCGGCTCCTGCCCGCTAGGGGCCTTCCCTATCCGGTGGCCCTGTCCCCCCTGCCGCTTCCTGACCCGACGCCTTCACTGGAAGCCCTGCCGGCCGCCCCAGTCACTGAAGCCTTCAGCCGGCACTGGATGCCAGCCCTGCCTGGTGCAGCCCAGCCCTGGCTGATGTGAGCATCTGGAGAACGAACCAGCAATGGGAGATCAGCCGCCCTCTGTTTAGTGGGGCGCGGATGATACGCGAGTGATTACTGGGGAGCCACGGAAGGTTTGGGGCAGGGAGAGGAACAGGATGAGAGTTGAGTTTCCCTGGCTGCTGGTGTTCAGTGTAGACCAGACAGGGCTGGGAGGAGAGGGGGCAAGGGACCCGGGGGGAGAGAGGATGAGGCTAGACCAGGGCAGAAGCTGTAGGGATGGGATGAGTTATATGAGTAAGACAGCCACTGGCCGCCGGGGGCGGGGGTGATGATGGGGAAGGAATGTTCTAGATGCCAGCCTGAGCGCTCCCTGAAGGCAGGATCCCATCTGCTCCATGGCTCCCCTGGAGCGGCAGCACTGGGCAAACACCTGTGCAGGTGCACGTCCCACATGCTGGGTGCAAGGCACTGGACTCAATGCTCCCCGGTGGGAGGGCCTGGGAGAACGCAGGCTACTTCCGCCTGGCTTGCCTAAAGGACATTGTTCACGACTCCCCTATCTTTTTTCCTTCCCTTTAGTATTACCTGTAATTCTATAAAATTCACCCTTTAAGGTGTCAGTTCAGGGGCAGGTGTTCGGCACAGCTTGGGACGCCCATATCCCATATCCAAGTGCCTCGTGCCAGTCCTGGCTCCTCTGCCTCTGATCCAGCTTCCTGTTAAGCTGCACCCTGGGGCACCAGCAAGTGAAGGCTCAAGTACTTGGGTCTCTGCCACCCACATGGGAGACCTAAAAGTAGTCCTGGGCCCCTGGCTTTGGCCTGGCTCAGCCCTGGTTGTTGTGATGTTTGGGGAGTGAACCACGGGATGGAAGATCTCTTTGTCTCTATCTCTCTCTCTCTTTCAAATAAAATGTAAATAACTAAAATTTCTGAAGTGCAAATTCAGTGTTTTTGAGTGTATCTACAGAGTTGCAGGAGCCTCACAACATCTAAGATCAGAACATTCTCGTCTCCCCAGAGAACAACTCCACGGCCATGGGCAGGTGGTCCCCACTCTTCCCCAGGGCTGGGCAGCCACTCATCTACTTCCTGTTCCTGTGGGTTGACCTGCTCTGAGCATTGTGTATTCGTAAGATCACACACTCTGGAGCCGTCTGTGTCTGACTTCTCCCACTTAGTGAGCTGTCAGGAGGCGTCCATGTGGTAGCAGGTGTCAGTATTTTAGTCATTACCATGGCAACATAGCCCATTGTTTGGCTGTATTGCATTTCACTTATCCCTTCTGGGGCTGGTGGGCATTTGGGTTTTTCCACTCGACAGCTATTTTCAGTACTGCTCCCATGACCATCTGGGTGCACGCTTTTCTGTAGACATGTGTTTTCAATTATCTTGGGTATACAATAGTCCCCTGTTAGCCACAGGGGACGTGTGCCAAGACCCTAGTGGACTGTGAAGCTGTGGATGGCGCTAAACCTTAATACTCAGTACTGTGTTCTTCCCCACACATATACCTATGAAATGGTTATTTATAAATTAGGCACAGCAGTAGACCAACAACAACCAATAGTAAAATAGAACAACAACAACATACTCAACATGCTCACAGGGCATTGGCCTAGTGATTAAGACACTGCTTAGGACACCCGTGTCCCACACCAGAATGCCTTGGTTCCTGACCCTGCCCCAGCTTCTGACTCCAGCTTCCTGGAGGCGGTGGTGGTGAGACAAGTGGCTGTGTCCCTGCTGTTCACATGGGATCCTGGCTCCCAGCTTCACCCCCAACTGTAGGCCCCCAGTTATTATGGGCATTTGAGGAGTGAACCAGTAGAAAGGTGTTTCTCTCTCTCTCTCTAATAGACAATGACTCATTTTGCCAAAATCAGTTTTTAAAAAGCACTAAACTATCATAAATGATAAATATGCTGTTATTTGAAACTCATGATGTTTTTCTAGAATTTTCTATGGAATGTGTTCTCACCACAGTTGACCACAAGGAATTGAGGCTGGAAAGTGAAACCAAGGACGAGAAGGGAGCGCTGCATGCTGGGAGCGCGCCCTGGGCCGCATGGCGCCAGCAAGGAAGGAGCACTGCATGCCGGGAACGCACCCTGGGCCGCATGGCACCAGCAAGGAGGGGGCACTGCATGTCGGGAGGGCACCCTGGGCCACATGGCGCCAGCAAGGAGGGGGCACTGCATGTCGGGAGGGCACCCTGGGCCGCATGGCGCCAGCAAGGAGAGAGCGCTGCATGCCAGGAGGGCACCCTGGGCCGCATGGCGCCAGCAAGGAGGGGGCACTGCATGCTGGGAGCGCACCCTGGGCCGCATGGCGCCAGCAAGGAGGGGGCGCTGCATGCTGGGAGGGCGCCCTGGGCTGCATGGCGCCAGCAAGGAGAGAGCGCTGCATGCCAGGAGGGCACCCTGGGCCGCATGGCGCCAGCAAGGAGAGAGCGCTGCATGCTGGGAGGGCGCCCTGGGCTGCATGGCGCCAGCAGGAGGGGGCACTGCATGTCGGGAGCGTGTGCCCGGGGCTGTGTGGCACCAAGGACGAGGAGGGAGCACTGCATGCTGGGAACGCGCCCTGGGCCGCATGGCACCAGCAAGGAGGGGGCACTGCATGCAGGGAGGGCGCGCTAGCCACGGGGCGCCTTTATGCTCTCAGCTCTTTATAGAGCTGTCAAACCCTTTTCAGGGTGGTGGCGCCATTTTCATTTGGCAGCGCCCGCAGCAGTGCACAAAGATTCCAGTTCCAGATCCTTGCTGGCACTTGTGGGCCGCTTCCCTAATGGCTGGGAAGTTATCTTTAAAAAACTTTTTTTTACATATTAATTTATTTTATTTGAAAGGCAGTTACAAAGAGAAAAGGAGAGACAGAGAAATCCTCCATCCACTGGTTCACTCCTCAGATGGCCATGCCGGCCAGGTCTGGGCCAGGCTGAAAACAGGAGCCAGGAGCTTCTTCCAGGTCTCCCACAGAGTTGCAGGAGCACAAGCACTTGGGCCAACTTCCACTGCTTTCCCAGGTGAATTAGCAGGGAGCAGTATTGGAAGTGGAGCAGCTGGGACATGAACCAGCGCCCATATGAGATGCCTGTTCTGCAGGCAGTGGCTTAACCTGCTACGCCACAGCGCCGGCCCCATGTGATCTTTTCTTGTGCCTATTGCCTATTTGTACATCTTTCTTGGAGAAATGTCCATTCAAATCCTTTGTCCATTTTTAAAATTGGGTAACTTATCTTTTTTAATATCTGTACTATCTTGGCCAGCGCCGCGGATCACTAGGCTAATCTTCCGCTTTGTGGCGCCGGCACACTGGGTTCTAGTACCGGTCAGGGCGCCAGATTCTGTCCCAGTTGCCCCTCTTCCAGGCCAGCTCTCTGCTGTGGCCCGGGAGTGCAGTGGAGGATGGCCCAGGTGCTTGGGCCCTGCACCCCATGGGAGACCAGGAAAAGCACCTGGCTCCTGCCATCGGATCAGTGCGGTGCGCTGGCCGCAGCGCGCCGGCCATGGCGGCCATTGGAGGGTGAACCAACGGCAAAGGAAGACCTTTCTCTCTGTCTCTCTCACTGTCCACTCTGCCTGTCAAAAAAAATATATATATCTGTACTATCTTTACAACTTCCTATGCATCTATAATTATTTCATAATTACAAGGATTTTTAAAGGTTTGTTTATTTGAAAGGCAGAGTTAGAGGTCTTCCATCTACTGCTTTGCCTCCCTAATGGTCAAACAGCTGGGGTTAGGCTAGGCGGAAGCCAGAAGCCAGGAGCGTCTTCTGGGTCTCCCAGGTGGGTGCAGGGGCCCAAGTACATAGGCCATCCTCTACTGCTTTCCCAGGTGCATTGACAGGGAGCTGGATCAGAAGTGGAGCAGCTGGGACGTGAACTAGTGCCCAGATATTGCAGGTAGCAGCTTAACCCACTGTGCCACAACGAAGGCTCCATTAAAAGTTCTTTTTTTTTTTTTTTTTTTTGAGGAAATTGCCCTTGATCCTCCTCTTTCTTCCATGATCCCTCCAAGCTGGAACACCCAGGTCTACAGAGCACAGGATGGAAGGACCAGGAACCTGCTGGGCCTGCCCAGAGCTGAGTCTGCCTGCCCACTGTGCAGCCCAGGAGGGAGGGGGAGAGTCCACCTCCTGTGAGCACACTGTCGGGTCCACTGTTACAGCAGCTTGGCTGTATGGTCACGGTTAGAATTTCATTACCGAGTGTGAGGGCACTTGCAAAGTATCATGGCAAGACGGAATTAACTGAACTGAAATCCATGCATGGCGTTTTCATAAGCTGCATTTTCCATAAACTGTTGTTTAAAAGATTTATTTATTTGAAAGTCAGAGTCAGAGAGAGAGAGAGAGAGAGACACAGAGGGAGATCTTCCATTTCTGGTTCACTCCCTAGATGGACAAAATGGCCAGGGCTGGACCAGGCCAAAGCCAGGAGCCAGGAGTTTCTTTTGGGTCTCCACGTGGGTGGCAGGGGCCCAAGAACCTGGGCCATCCTCCACTGCCCTCCCCAGTGCATTAGCAGGGAGCTGGATCGGAAGGGGAGCATCCAGGACATGAACCGGTGCCCATATGTGATGCTGGCATTGGCAGCTATGGCTTTACCCACTACGCCGGCCCCATAGCTTTTAGAAGAACACTTGTATGCATGGATTTCAAAACTTTCTGCCCTAAAATCAACTTCTAGTTCTATTTTTCCATGGACTTTTAAAAGTATCCTTGTAATTAGCACATGTTTAAGTTCCCTGTAAGTGCAGGAATACAGAT